TGGGAATGGGTGGCAGAAGGTGAGAAAGGAGCACCTACTCCGCAGCCCACTGGATGAGATCGGGTGGCTGGGTCCGGATCGCGGCTTTGGTAAATTGCTTCAGCAATTCCGGCAGCTCCGGCGGAATGCATATTTGCTTATCGGTCTGAGGCATTGATTGGTTGACCTATTGGCAGACAAAAATAAATAAATAAATAAAATGGTCATCTCTGAATCACAAAATGACAGGAATCCTGGACAGGAGGGAACCCAGCCTGTTGGACACTCTCAATACTGGGGAGTTCACCCACACCACATACTAGTACATTCTATAGTTACACAACTCCGAGACGAGAACGTGGTTTACTAACCCTACTATTTGTTGTTGTAAATAATTCTGCCCTTTAACATAAAAACACACACAGAATACTTACTCATTTAAAAAATAGAGCTCAACAAGGAGTTACCAAAATGATGTTAACCCAAAATATTGGATGTCTCCTTCCAGAATTTATTCAATGTAAATAGTATATATTTATATAAATAAAAATGGGGTCATGCAAAACAACTTATTTACTCCACAGCATTTCATGAACAGCTTTCATATCATGCAACTCTTACTGGCCAAGTAAGAGTGTAGCAAAATTTACTCTGTAGATACTCTATTATTTGACATTAAGTTATTTCCAAATAAAAATAATCATTAAGCAGGCATTTGATGAACATCTCTCTCTACATCTGTATGTACTTATCTATCCTAATTGTAAAAAAAGAAAAAAGAAAACATGTACATTTCACTCAAAAAGTTCCAAGACAAATTGAAACAAAATATGAAAATCCATATATGGTATAAAGCTCTATGCACAAACAACAGTTTAAAAGATTTTGTTTGCTTTTTAGTAGAGAAAGAGTCTAGGGATTCTGAAAAGCCCCTCCTCAAAAAACCCCTAGATGTTAGACACATCCCAGCAAACTGTACCTTTCAAATTACCTTGTTATGTTGCAGGAAAGCAGGGGAAATTAAGTGCCAAGTAAAGTGAATAAAGCAGAAATCAGAATGACAAATGACAAAACTAGGGGCAAGTGTAGATGCCAGAAACTTGAAACTTTCAGACAAATGGCCAAGTAAGTTGGACATAAACCAGGTCTTGGGCCTATGTAATGTAAACAGCTGAACTGAAGGATTCTCTTATCACTGATCCCCTCCCCACCCTGAGACCCTCCAAGGTTCACACACCCTTAGCGTGAAAGGGTGGGATTGAAAGTGTCTGCTTACTAGCAGGGGAAGTGACGTAGAAATATGTTTCCATTGTTGCTTTTTGTTGGGGGCGAGATAGTCTCCCATGAGTTTGTAGCCACAAACTAGGTCTAAGTTTTGAATTTATCCCATTTACCAGCCTGGTTGGAAAATCCAAAGACAAAAAACTAAAATGGTCTCAGGTTGGTGGTACTCCATTCTATTTTACTTTATGTTCTTTTATTTGGAGGCAGCAGAGTATAAAGATATTTTAGACTTTGTAAAAAGTCAAGTATGCAAGTATGCAGAGTAAAATTTCAAGGATAATTACTAAAAATGTAATATCACCACCAAATTAGTAAAGAAGAGATAGGAATTAAAAACAACAACAGCAAAACAACTTGATCAATAGAAAAGAAGAAAGGAGAGAGAAAAGCATAGAAAAAAAATGGATAAATATCATGACAGAAAAGAATCCATATACTAGTACATCAGTAATTACGATAAAAAGAAACAGTGATAAATGTCCCAGTTAAAATTCAGAAATTATCAGAGTGTATTTTTTTTTAAATCCTCACCCGAAGATATTTTCTTATTGATTTCCAGAGAGAGTGGAAGAGAGAGGGAAAGACAGAGAGAAATATCGATGTGAGAGAAACACATTGATTGGTTGCCTACTGCATGCACCTGAACCAGGGGAGGAGCCTGCAACCAAGGTACGTGCCCTTGACCAGAATTGAACCTGGAACCCTTCTGTCCACAGGCTGATGCTCTATCCACTGAGCCAAAGTGGCTAGGGCTATCAGAGTGGATTTTTAGTAACTTCAACTATAGGCACATATGAAATGACATAAGGACACAGGAAGACTGAAGGTAAAAGGATATATGATTAAATAGGCAAATAATAACCAAAAGAAAGTTGATGTAGGCATGTTAATACCAGACAAAAGAAACTTTAAGGCAAAATGCATTATTAGGAATAAAGAGGGCCACTGCATAGTGGGGAAAGCTTCATTGATTGGAAAGATAGCAGAGATCTCCATGAGCATGCTGCAGACATCACCGTGGCTGACTCTCACGATGCTGGCTGGAAAGGCGATACATTGCTTAGGTTACATACATATGTCATCATATTATAATAAAGAACAACAAGTAATAAACCCAGATTCAGAAGGGCTGTTATCCCGTGTCAGGGAAGGAGAGGGATGTCATCAGGAGGATGAAATAGGGGTCCCGACACTATTAGCAATGTTCTATATTTTAAGCTCAATGGTGGCTGCCTAGATGTTCGCTTCATTATTTTTATGCCTCTTTTTACATGATGCATTGGATTTTTTTGTGTGAAATATTTCATAATTTAAAAAGTTACTAATACAAGTTGATTGTCTCTGATAACTTTTCAATCCATTTTATCTGCCAAAGGGCACACTCTTATTTTGTTCATATTGTCTGCATATACTGTGGAACCTCGGTTCTCAAACGTAATTCATTCCTGAAGGCTGTTCAAGAAATAATTTGTTTGAAAACCTTATTTCCTCCCAACTAAGAAAGTATATATTCTTTCATCATCATTATTATCATCATCATTTCTAATAAAACATAATTGATTTTGTTCACTTTAAAAGTTGTGCCTTGGTTTATATTTGTGTTTATTCTTAACTTTTGATGTAAAATATCCAAAATCTGATTCTTAATGGATTTCATAATTATATTACTTATAGAAATAATGTTTCCTTCTAAAAACAAAAAAAAATGGAAAATAATTTAATTGGTTTAATAAAGGGGACTTAGGCCTTTAATATCTTATGGAAAACATTTTTCAAAATGTTTTAACTATACTTGAGTATAAATAATATTTATATTTTGTGGAAAGGCTAGCATTTCAATTATTAAATTGAATTATAATATTTCCAAAGTTCCCCCTTATCAAATGCTTACTTTTTCAAAAATTTAATGATTTAAAATAGCTTAAGGAAATGAACCTTATTTCCTTGAATATTGATTTGTTGTAGTCAAAAAGGCCTATGTTTCCTTAAGTACTTTAATATGGTATTTATTTTCCCACCATAAAGTATAATTTAAATCTAAATATTAATAATTTTTAACTATTGAATTATTGTTGAATACTTTTTAGAGATTCACAAGACATATACAGGAATTAAAAAATAAAGTTAAGTCATTTATTAGGCAATATAGTGAAGATTATTTCAAATTTGGATTTGTTTGCCTTGATAATTTTTTTTGTCTGCCTAAATATCTTATTTTCGTTGAAAAGGTATCACATGAAAAAATAATGGTGCCAGGTAAATTATGCCAGAGCCTTAATAGAAAATATCTATGTTCTACAGAGTCTCTGAAGATAGTAATTCTTAAAGTTTTTGGCATCAGCACCCCTTTACATTCCTAAGTTATTGAGGACCCTAGAGAACTTTTGTTAATGTGAGTTATATCTATCAATATTTATCATTTTAGAAATTTAAAAATATTTAAAATAAAAGGAAATTCTTTACTTGTTAACATAAGTAATGTAATTTTATGAAAAATGCAAGTGTCCAGAAACAAAACTCCTTAATGAGAACCGAGACATTGTTTTACATTTTCACAAATCTTTTAAAGTCTGGCTTAGTAGAAGCCACATAGATTCTCATATCTGCTTTGCATTCAATCTGATATGATATCACACATCATGTAGCTTTTGGGAAATTCCATTGTACATTCTTAAGAAAAAAGAGAGTGAGAAAGACATATAATGTCTTAGCATTATTACAAAAATAGTTTTAACTTCATAGATTCCTACCCACCCAAAGTCTCAAGGATCCGCAGAAGTCCCTGAAACTACACTTTGGAAACCACTGTTTTATGAAACTGTTACAACAGTATATCCAACTACAACAATAGTTTGCATCAGATTGGGTTTGGCTTCAAGAAGCTAATTAAAAAGTCACATAATTAAGAACTAAAGCCAATTAGAAAACTATGGTACATCTACACAATGGAATACTACGCTGCTGTGAAAAAGAAGGAATTCTTACCATTTGCAGCAGCATGGATAGAACTGGAGAGCATTATGCTAAGTGAAATAAGCCAGGCAGTGAAAGAAAAATACCACATGATCTCACTCATTTATGGATAATAAAGAACATTATAACCTGATGAACAAAAAGATAGATACAGAGGCAGAGAAGCATCGAACAGACTGTCAAATTATAGCGGGGAGGTTGGGAAGTGATGGGGGGGGGAGGGGTAAGAGATCAACTGAAGGACTTATATGCATGCATATAAGCATAACCAATGGACACAAGACACTAGAGGGGTGGGGTAAGGGCATGTGCCGGTGGGTAGGGGAGGCTGGAGGAAGGTCAATGGGGATAAAAAGGAGACATACGTACTACTATTTGTAATACTTTAAACAATAATAAAAAAAGAACTAAAGCCAAAATGACTCTTACAATTATAGAATCAGCATTTACCAACCTGCCTGGGAAATTAGCACGTTTGGGACTAAGTGAAGTAAAGGAAATATAAGTGCCACTCTGGAATGATACTATTAGAAGATGCATTGATGACACTCTCTACACGACTAATCAATCACAGCATTTCCTTGCAGAGAAGTGAACCCGCAGATGTCAGTAACAGTGTGCAGGTTAACAGCACTAGTTAGAATCCTTAGAAAGGAATGCTTAGAAGAATATGTTTTGCCAAAAATAGTTTTGCTAATAATACCATTTTGCCAAAAATTACCAAAATAAACTACTCAGGATGAAGTATTTGGAGTACTTTATGTACTTTAAAACAAAATTTTCTGGATTAATACAACAGTTTCTGTGCTGATGGGAAAGCTGTGATGGCGGGAAGGTGGGAATGTTTTTACTTGATATCTGTTCTCCATGTTCTGAACACCTAGGAGGCAACTAAGACATTGTTTAGCTCACAGAGAG